CTTAGTACAAAAAATGTAAACAACTGATTACATGGTAAAATAGTAGTATTTTAGATTTTGGGTTAAATATTTTATTAAAAGTAAGCTCACCCAGAATGGCCATCATAAAAAATTGAACAGAGAAGTATTGGAGAGGATGTGAAGAAAAGGGAACCATAGTACACTGCTGGTAGGAATGCAGACTGATGCAGCCACTGTGGAAAACAGTATAGAATTTCCTCAGAAAACTAAAAATGGAACTGCATTTTGACCCAGCAATTCCACTGCTGGGATTGTATCCTAAGAACCCTGAAACACCAATCCAAAAGAACCTAAGAACCTATGCACCCCAATGTTCACAGCAGCACAATTTACAATAGCCAAGTACTGGAAGCAACCCAAGTGCCCATCAGTAAATGAGTGGATCAAAAAACTATGGTACATTTACACAATGGAATATTATGCAGCAGAGAGAAAGGAGCTCCTACCCTTTGTGACAGCATGGAACTGGATGGAACTGGAGAGAATTATGCTAAGTGAACTAAGCCAAGCAGTAAGGGACAAATACCATATGATCTCACCTTTAACATGAACCTAATCAACAAAAGAAAAAAAGCAAGCAAAATATAACCAGAGATACTGAAATTAAGAACAATCTGACAGTAACCAGAGGGAAGGTGGGAGGGAGTAATAGGGGAAGGGTTTTCAGGAACAACTATAAAGGACACATGGACAAAACCAAGGTGGCGGGGGTGGAAGCAAGGGAGGACAGTGGATTTGGCTGGGGTTGGGGGGGGGGGGGTCGTGGTGAGGGGTAAATGCAAACTGTAATTGAACAACAATAAAATAACTTAAAAAATTAACCTCAACCATTTCTTCGTACCTTTTTGGTGTGGCTACTAAATTACATTTAGAATTACATATGTGGTTCACATTTCCACTTGGGGGTGCTGTTCCTGACTGTACTTCTGCTGCCCTGAACGCCAGCTCCCGTGGGCTCTCTCCTTGTGAACGCTTCTCACAGGTTTGCAGAGAAACAGGGGGCAGCACTACTGGCCCAGAAGAACACTGGCCAAGTGCAGCTCAATCAGGGATCAGAGCTCTGGAACCTTTAGACCTTATCAGTGACTGGTGACTGGCCTATCCCTCCACTGAGAACAGCTTCTGACACAAAATGAGGGTGACTACAACTCTATTTGAAACTTGAGTTGGGACACCAGGGATTTCATTGCCACTGGAATGAGGCTGACAGGGATAGAGCCAGCCAGGGCTTCAGTTCTGGGTATGGAGCTGCTACTTCTCCTACCTTACTGCTAAGCAGAAATGTGAGTGGTCCAACATAAAAGAATGGGTTTCAAAACTAAATTTATTTCATTCATCAGTCTGAATAATGCATTGTCCACAGAACACAGGGATTGCCTTTCCAAGGCAGACCTTGTCTTCCTCCTCTGGACTCCACTGCCCACATGAACAAGCACATTCCTATCCCTCTCAAAGCACCACTACAGATGCTTACTTGCCGAGGATCACCTGGGCATGTCAGAATGCTAGGCTGTTCTGGAATGTTTTGCTGTCCCACAACACCACCCAGTTACTAAAAAGCAAAAGCACTGAGCCTATGTCAAAACATCATGACTATGGGGTTAGTGGAGTAAAGGCCAATAAAGCCCTAATCTGGATGCATCAGCTGCTGGTGACAGGAAGTGAGCCAAGTCAAGCATTTGAGAAGTAAGTCATGAGAAGTGGTTGTTATGACACCAATGATGCAGTCTCTGAAAGCTGGAGCTACATCAGAGTGACTGATCCTTCCATCCCAGTGCCCAGTACACAGCAAGTGCTCAATACCTATGAATCAAAGGGAAAGCTGATTATAGACTGTTAGGGCCCTCTAGATCCTGGGGTCAGCATATCTGAGGGGAAAAAAATGCAGCTACTGACAGTCAGGAGCTGGCCAAGCTCCAGAGTCAGGCTTGGTGTTGTTCTCCTGTGGAACAAAAAGTTTCTCACAGCAACATCGGACAAGACCACTTGGTGACTATGAAAAATGAAAACAAAAACCAGGTGACTCCATAATCATATCTCAACACAGACAAAAGATGATCATCTGAACAACACAAAGGACCAGCCAACCCTGCTAACGAGTGGATGCTGTTGCTTCACCCAGCCCAGCATTACCCTCACTCCATTCTTCTCACCTTCTCAGTAAAAGTTAAGATAACCAATCACAGAACTCTCCTGCTCCCTGACATCTAATCCAGAGCAAAGCCCTCCTTCTTTGAGTCCTTCCCCAAAGCACCAGACCAAAGCTTAAATCCCAAGTCCTAACACTCTCTGCGACTACCTGCCATTCCCCATGGCATGTGACTTCCCTCATTCAAAGGGTCAGGAAACCCAACCATGTTGAACTACATTTCCTGAAGAGTCTTTGGCTGAGGAGCACTAATGACCCTTCGCCATAAACATCCCTTCCCTAGGCTATGGTTACCACTGTGCCTCTATCCCCCCAGCCTGGGAAGGGGAAAAAAGGAAATCAGCACAGGAGAGAGGAGAAAATTCAATGGTGGCAAAGATAACTTCTACAAATGGCACCTTCCCATGGCCACCCCTAGGTTGTGCAATGTTCTATCCCTTTCTCCCACTAAAGAAACCCCATCAGCAAACAGAAGTTAGTATTAAAGGCACAAATGCCTATACACACACATACAATAAGCCATTTCACTAACTTCAGTACTTCGACCAATTACTTGTGACTCAAGTTGCAAATGATAGACATAGCAGTTAAGGAACACAACTGTAAGGTATTCACAGTCACAGCTACCTGGAACTAGGAGCATGGCTTGAACATGTTACTTAAATTAAGCCTGTTTCTTCCTCTGCAAATTAAAAGAGCAAATGCCATAAAGCTGCTATTAGATAACAGGCCAAAGGCCCAGAACAGCACTGGCACACAGGAAGTAATAACAGGTAGGACTCTGACACCAGAGTCACCTTATAACCACTTCTCCTACCTATGGCCCACCTCTTGCCCACTGTGCTGACAATGCCTTCCCATGCACTCCTTTTGCATGGCGGCACCCCTATCAACCTGTCTTGTCCAGCAGGCTGGAAACATATGGAAGACAAGAGCATGCTAAAGCACAGGCTGTCTTACTCTTCTGTTTCCGTCCCCCACCAGTCCCCTTAGGAATATGCATATGATGGTGACTCAGAATCTAAGTTTCATGAATGAAAAGTATAAAAACTTCATGAACTACAGCTGAAACCAAAACTGAATAGGTTTTGTTAAGGTCCAAGTGATTTTCCCCTTTGGTCCTTCCCAGGAATGTGGCAGTTTCACTTAGTTATAAACCTTTCCCCAAACAGCCAACTTGCAGCTTGCCCTGTGCCTTCAAATTGATCACCGGCCTGCAAATTTTTCCCATCCAACTTATCACCGATAAGATCGCATTTAATAACAATTTTATTGAAGGAACTTTAATTAAAATTTACCTTAAGAACAAACTCCTGTATATGTGTCCAAAGTATAGCAAGTGTTTTTGTATTCTTTAAAGAAAAACTGATAGGGGACTCAAAACTTGGAAAATTTTAGCTTAAGGTAAATAGCCATAAATCTAGCAAGTAATGCGTATGTTAAGCTCTTTGTTTCAGAAACTACAGATAAGGCCCATCTGGTGCCTGAGAAAAAGCAGCTGACCTCCTGGGGTGCTGGCTAAAGATTACTGCCTGGAGACATCCCTATCCCGAAGAGCTGGCAACTACCCCTCCTACTTGGAGATGGCTAATAGCCCAGGATAGGAGTGCTGCAGCTGGGAATTTCAAGGCTTTCGGCGACCAGTTTGTCCTCCCCCAACCCCCTTATAAAAGATCTGGCCAAGAAAGAAGGGGGAAGATGGTTTGTTAGGGTATGAACCCGCCACCTTCTCGGATCACCGGCCATCTGAATAAAGTGCCTATAAAAGATTCAATCACTGTCATTGCTTATTGGATTTGGTAGTGACAGGCAGCCCGAAAGCCGTGGTCTTGTCCGGTTATAAAACCTCATATTAACAATTAAAGGAACTTCAGTTTGGTCACAGATTCAAGTGCCTAAGAAACCAGCTGAAAATTTACATGTGATTAGAACATGCAGGTGTCTTTCAGAAAGCCAGAATAACTTTGTTGTTTATCTTTATTCCTGAATTTAATCCATGTCAAAAGAGCTTTAAAGGATTATTTCAAATATCAGTTCTATCAAGTTTTCTCAGCTAAGATCTAGTGACCATTTGGTGCAAAAATTACCTTTTATCCAGACCAAAATAGTCTTGAAGAATAAAATAAAACACTCCTAACAACAGGTTTCCCAACAATGCATGGGGCAACTATCTTTAAAGAGCACCTTGAGAGTGAAGAAAAAGAGAAGGAATTCAATAAGGAAAAGAAAGCCTGATTATTAACTTTTATTCTGCAACTTAATTTAGCTGAAATTTAGATGTCAACAACTTTGGTGGCTACAATTCAAGCTTCAAAACAGAGGGTAAGCCCACTGTTTCAAGTATTGTGCAAAGTCAGAATGGGGGAAATTAGGGTTCTCAGATGGATTCCTAAGTCTCCTCTAAAATTATCACTGAGCTGTTCACAGCCTTTCCTTTCCCTGTCTATGAGGCTTTCGGGACAATTCACTGCTCATTAGGCATAAAGATGACAGTGAAGGGAATAAAGATGAAATCCAGGTCACCCATTTTCCTGCTTGTCAACTTCCACAAGTAAAGGTTTGAGCAATATAAAACTTGGAAATAACTTGTGCCTTTTGTTCAATTGCGTTATCTTCAACTAACAAAGAAAATTAATGTTTTGTTTGACAAAGGTCTATGGAATAAAACCAACACGAAGCTCTCTCAGAAATAAATATTTACCTACTCTTTGGCTCAAGATTTCTTGAGTAAATTCCACCTCTTATTGGAGATCCAATGTAAACTGGGAGAGCAAAATTGATTTCTATTTAACTGCAAAACTGCTGCAAATTCTATAGCAAAGACAAAGAGTAAGAATGGCACCATACTGCTTTATTCCAACCCTCAAACAATATAAAGAGGTGAGAAGTTCTGATGCTGAAACATACAAGTAATAACATAGGAACAGATAAAATGTTAACAAAAATACAAACATGTAAATGTGTTTCACATTCCATAGCAGTACTAGCAAGGATTTCTGTCCAATTGCTTCCAACAGCAGGGGTCTGAATGAACCCTCTGATCTTAACAAAAGAACCACCACAATTTCTCCCTGATAGTTTACAATCACTACACACGACAATGCTACGCTCACCAGACTTTTGTAAACCTCACATTAAAATATGTAACAAGGTACCATGCATGATCACAACAAAAAAACTAAAAACCAAAAAAGAATGTGATAGAAAAGTAAACTCCAATGTTTCTAGTAAGGCATCAGGGAATCACTGCTGGCTGGGCCCTTCATTTTACCAGTTTAAAGAAGTTTTGATTTACATTATTCAGCAAACTCAATATTCAGAAGCTTAGCCAGCAGGCTCAAGTTTAAAAGACAATTCCCTTTTTTTTTTTTTGGTAAATGTTTTATATAAAACATGAAATTTCCACTTTATTTTAAAAACTGAGTATTTTTAATAGTAAAAATATATGTTTATATTCCTTTTTAAAAAAAGACATTTAATAACAATACTTGAGAAGACTGGATTTAACTACCCGGTCCCCACCCCGCCGCTATCCACCTGGCACAGAGACATTAAGGCAAAGGCTCCTGGAGAGACATATCCACTTGGCTGTCGGCTGCAGACTCCAGTTAAGTGCACTCCACTCCTAGCAGGGTCAAGAGAAAGGCTTCTCCTTCATGTTCACTGAGCCATCCTGCATTCCGAAATAGACTCTCTCAGCCATATTGATGAAGAGGCCGGTGTCTACCACACCTGCAGGACAAAAGATGGCAGGAGACATTAAGTTTCAGCTCCCCAAGCAAGAAACAAATCAAGGATCATAAGGTCAGTACGAGCAACAGCCATTAGCGAAACTGGACAAATGAAGACAGATTCTGATTCTTTTTATTTCATCTTAAAATTTCTTTCTCCACTGCTATCTTGGCTTGCTTTCTTTCTTTCCATGGCCACAAGTGCCAAATGTTTTTCTGTCTCAGAGCCTTTGGCCATATTCCCTCAGTCTGAACCAGTCACCTTTGACAGCTTAAAGACCTGGCTCTCCTCTGTCCTTCAGATATCATGACAAAGTGATCTTTTCAGCTTAAAGGTCTCCTATGACTACTCTAAATAAATTCCACTCCTAGTTATTCTAAATCACACTGCCAGCCTTTGAAGTTTTCCCCACAGAGTCCAAGAACATATTTGCAACAAAAGACCCACATCAAAATATATAAAACTCTCTCCAAATCAATAAGACAGACAACCTAGTAGAAAAATGGGCAAGATTCAGCAGGACTTCACAAAAGAGGCTATCCAAAATGGCCAATAAACATAGGGTCAAACTAAACAAAAAGGAATGCAAATTAAAATGAGACACCACTGCATGCTCACCAGAAAGACTATGATGAAATGCGACAAGGATATAAAAAGACATTTCTACGTGTTCACAGCAGGAATAAATTGGCAAACCACTTTGGAAAATGTTTAAAATATATTTTTTAAGATTTTATTTATTTATTTTTAGACAGAGGGGAAAGGAGGGAGAATGAGAGGGAGAGAAACATCAATGTGTGGTTGCCTCTCACATGCCCCCTGCTGGGAATTGGTCTGCAGCCCAGGCATATGCTCTAGACTAGGAATCTAACCAGTAACCCTTTAGTTCACAGACCAGTGCTCCATCCACTGAGCCACACCAGCCAGAGCTGTTAGTATAGTTATTAAAGACAAACATATTCATACCTATGATCCAGCAATTCTAAGCTAGGTATATAAGCAACTGTTAGGCATCATCAAGAGACATGTACAAGAATGTCCATAGCAGTACTTTTCCTAATAGCTAAAAACTGGAAACACCCAAATGCCCATTAAGAGTAGAATGAGTATACATGCTTTTTTCCCACACACATAATAGAATGGAATCTATTCACCAATGAGAATTAACTAGAATTGTGAGCAACCTTTACTGAAAATATTTACATAATCCAGTTAACCCTTAAACAACTTGGTGATTATGGGCACCAACCTCCCTCGCAGCTGAAAATTGAATAATAACTACAGTTGGCCCTCCAAATATGCAGATTCCCAACTGTGGATTTGATCCTTGGGCAGCATGGGTTTGAACTGCCAGGCCAAACTGAAAATTCTGCATATAAATGGACTCACACACTTAAAATCCTGTATTGTTCAAGTGTCAACTGTATACACATAACTACAATGAGACAATACTGTTCAACCATCAGGAAAAAAGTATGATGAGAAAAATGGCACCTGCTTATGTTGCTGGTAGACAGGTAAACTGGTACAATCTCTATAGGGCAACTTAACACCATCTAGCAACCCAAGATACACTTATCCTTTGATTAGTACTCTCTTCTAGCAAAGAACTGGAAACAGATATCCCTTAGTGGGGATCTGGTTAAATAAATTATGTAATAGCTGTAAAATGAAATGCTGTGCAGTTGTTTTATAACACTGCCTTGTTGGAAATGAACTTCTTTAGCTTTTTCTTATCTAGGAAGCTCTTTTTCTTTCAACTTTAAATGACAGCCATCCTGGGGAAAGTAGCCTTGCTTGTAGACCCTTGCTTTCCATCACCTTGAATATTTCCTGCCAATCTCTTCTGGCCTGAAATGTTTCTGTTGAAAAATCAGATGACAGTATTATGGGAGCTCCTTTGTGGGCAACTAACTGTGTTTCTCTTGTGGCTTTAAGATTCTATCTTTAATCTTTAGCATTTTCATTATGTCTTGGAGGGGGCCTTTTTGCATCCATCTTGTTTGGGACTCTCTATGCTTCCTGGACTTGTATATCTATTTCCTATACCAGTTTAGAGATGTTTTCAGCCATTTATTTTTAAAATAGTTTCTTTATCCCTTGCTCTCTCTCTTCTCCATCTGGTACCCCTATGATGCAGATATTGTTAGGCTTGATGTTGTTCCAAAGGTTCCTTAAACTATCATTATTTTTAAAAATCTTTTGTTGCTGAAAGCATGTTTTCTGCTACCTTGTCTTCCAAATCACTGATTCAAGACTCTGCTGCTTTAATCTGCTGCTGATTCCTTCTAATGTATTCATTTCAGTTATTGCATTCTTCAATTATGACTGGTTCTGTTTTAGTATTTCTATGTCCTTTTTTATGCTTACTATCTAAGTTCTCACTGAATTCATCCATTCTTCCCCTAAGTTCCTTGAGCATCCTGATAACTATTGTTTTGAACTCTTTATCTAGTAGACTGCTCACCTCCATTTCATTTCATTCTTTTTCTGAGGATTTGTCCTGTTATTTCATTTGGGGCATGTTTCTTTGCCTCCTCATTTTGGCTGCCTCTTTGTGTTTGTTTCTGTGTAGTAAGTAGATCTGCTATATCTCTTGTCTTGGTATGGTGGTCTTCAGTAGTAGGTGTCTTGTGGGGCTCAATGGCACATTCTCCCTGATCACCTTGACTAAGTGCTCCAAAAATGTCCCTTGTGTGGATTACATAAGCCCTCCTGTTACAGTTGAGTCTTGATTGCTGCTAGCCCATCTATATGGGAAGATGACGCCTGGGCTGGCATACCCCAGCCACAGTGTATGAGCTACTGTGTGGGGACTGACCACACAAGGTAGAAATTGCCCCAGCAAGGTCTGGAGCCTGCAGACATCTCCATTTGGGTGTGCCCCTTGTGGAGCTAACTGGCTTGTGCTCTTATGTAATCTGAAGCCAGCCACTGGATGTTTTGGTTCTGTGGCCTCTCAGGAGAAACTCCAGTGCAGGTCAATGTCAGGCACTGCCTGTGACTGGCCCTGTGCTGCCTATTTGGAGCTCTAAAGCAATCCAGTTAGTAGCTGCCTCTCCTAGGCCTGTGTTCACATGGGAGGGGCCAAGCTATGCCCTGATGCTAACTACCATCAGTAGAGAGCAGGGCAGGTTTGCAAAAGACTCAAGACACTCAAGACCTGGCTCCACCTGCTAGCTGCCTATTAGCCACCGAAAGAGCCTCCTGCAGTACATGAATTGCATGAGGCAGGTTCTCAGCAAGTCGCCAGTTAACAACAGGTGGTGTTCATCAGGTTGGACAGGTCAAACTCGGCACCAGGGTTAGGTCTGCAGTCACTCAGAAAAAGCCTCAGTGTATACCAAGGTCAGCCTCGGGTCTGGGGACCTTTGTGGTGGGAAAGGGTCTCAGAGAGTCATCAGACCCAGGGTAAGATTTGATCATGTGGAAGAAGGGGTCTGCACAGGAACGGGGTCACCACTCAGGGTACTGGGGAAACATGGCCTTGCCTGAAAGCCACACAACTCAAGAGTTTCCCTATCTGTCTCCAATACCACCAGTCTACCCAGACCTCCTAGAGAGCCTCTTAAGACTGTAATAAGAGCCCAGGCTGGCTAAAGCCAGCAGGATGAAAGCTTGGCAAAGCGGGGCGACAGGGAGTCAGGAGCACGGAGCTAGTCACAGTTATTTTAAAATGAACGAGGAAGCTCTTTTTGAACTGTTATGTATGATCTCCAAGACAGGAAAAACTAGGAATCAAAACCTGTATGTAGCATGCTTCCACTTGTGTGAAAAGAGGTAGGGCAAGGGCAGGGTTGATTTGTTGACCAAAGAATAACTCAAAAAGATACATTTTGGTAACACTGGCTGACTCTCAACAGGGAAAGTTGAAGGGGTAGAAGAGACTTTTCACTGATTACTCTTATAATATTAAACTATATAAATTCAAAAAGATAAATAACATAAAAACTTCCAGAGACACTCCTCCAATATATAAACAAATAAAATCACCTATCTTCAATGAAAAGCCACCAGGTAGAGAACCTGCTGAAACACAAAGGTCCTGGCAGTAAACTGTGCCAACATGACTATAGCCTCCCAAAAATAAGTGGCCACTCAAGACCCATCCTTTTCAAACATTCTGTAATACAAGGTGACAGCTTCCATCTGATTCAAGACAAGTCAGAACAGATTCAGAGAATGTTTTTTAAAAAAGAGCAGACAAATGGCAGTAGCCTAAGATCTGATATGAAAGCAATCTCTCCTCAGGTCACTGAGATGAAGGAAATGACTGACCCCACCATCCTCCATAAAGTGGGAGGAGCAGAGGTGGCTCAATGCGAACACAGTGGAAGAACTCCAGTAGCTTTGACCCTTCTATAGTGCCTGTCTGTTCTGGGTATAACTCAATGGAACACCCAAGGGAATGCACACTTCAGCTATCCTCCAAGTTACTTCACAAATGCACATGGGACAAGGTCAGGGGAACAGGGACAGAGAGGGAAACTTGCCCTGCTTCTCCTCCTTTGATCTTGGCCCAGCAGCAATCATTATAATGGGCCAAATTGGGAAGAGAAAAGATAAAACAAACCACAGAGATGACCAGCACTGTACTAAATAATTTAATGCCTCTCACTTTTCATTTTTTTCATTTTAAGTTCTTAAAACTATGGAAGAAAAGGACCACGTGCTAAGCCTGACAAGGTTAGAGGGCCTGAATGACAATCCTGCAAAACTGAAGATCTAAAGTAACCACAAAGGATGGTCTAAAACTAAAACTTAGTAACTAAAATCAGTTCATGGCAAGTAGTCATGCCTTTGGCTTAAATCTTCCCTGATAAAAGTCAATCTATCTTAATTGACCCTGTCTACTGCCCCTTTGCATCTACAATAACATACCTTAGGAATGTCAAGATAACTTCCCTTTTTCCAGACCCCTCCAGGTACAACCACCACAACACAGCAGAGACCACAAATCCCCTCATTGTTATTATCATGTTAGTTGTTGACTGTTAAGGATCCTGTATCCACCTGTGTAAAAGAAGTATGTGTCTTATTTTACTTTTATCCAGCCCCAGGTTTCCCCACTTTGTTTTCTCCCACCACCCTAATCTATCACCAATGGATTTCATGTAATCCCCTTATGCCTTCTCCTTTGATTGTGATGCATGTATAAGGTACAAAATTGTCATTTTCCTAAGCATTTTCTCAACTTGTTCAGGTTTTGCTTCCTGACAAGTATCATCAATTTGCCTCAAATAAACTCACAAAAATTCTTTCCAGGTTTGAATGTTTCTTATATTAACAAACCTCTAACCATCTCCAGGATGTAACTGGTACTTGCTGAGGTAGAGAGCAAAGTATGGAAGAAAGTTTCTCATTAAGGACATCTCAATGGCTCCAGAGCCAAGAAAGGTCTGAGAAAAAGCAATCAGCTTACTCTAGTGGGTACTACAAGAAACCCTCCTACAGAGGAGCAGTGCTGACACTGGTGAGGCATTTCCTACCTGGTCCCCTGGGTTTGTCTGCATTATCGTTAAGGTAAATGCCCCCATTTTACTAACAGTGACCTATATGTTTTCTTTTCATCCTGCCTTCTTTGCTCTTTGGTTCTTCCAACAACACTGAGAGAATAAACACAATTCAGCTCAATTTTTTAAAAGATTTTATTTATTTATTTATTTTTAGAGAGGGGAGAAGGGAGGAAGAAAGAGAGGGAGAAAAACATCAATGTGTGGTTGCCTCTTACATGCCCTCTATTGAGGACCTGGCCTGCAACCCAGGCATGTACCCTGACTGGGAATTGAACTGGGAACTCTTTGGTTCGCAGGCTGGTGCTCAATCCAGTGAGCCACACCAGCCAAGGACTCAGATCATCTTTTTGATTTAAGAAATCTGATACAGGACTTCCGACAAGATGGAGCAATAGGTGGACGCACCGTACCTCCTCGCACAACCAAGATTAGAACAACAAATAAATTACAGTCAGCATAACACACAGAACTGACAGAGGATTTATCTGAATGGAAGTCGGACAGCCAAGAAGTTGAAGTAGACCCATTCATCCAGACTGGTAGGAGACAACGAGCCGAGTGGGCGCAGGGCCGGCGCGGGTCGGCGGCGCGCAGAGGTTGGAGAAAGTTTGGCACGGAATCGGCACGAAAGCCATCCGGGGAGCAAGAACGCAGCGGTGATCCCTGAGTACGCAAGCTGCGGCTGCCGGACCCAGTGGGGCAGCGATTGTGGACCAGGGCAGACGTCACAGCCCAGGAGCCCGGGGAAGGGTCTGGGCCCAGGAGAACTGAACTGCCGCCATTGATTCCCTCCCGTCCCGCCCCCACATATAATGCCACAATCCAGCGACTGGGGCGCCCAGCCCCGGTGAACACCTAAGGTTCCACCCCCACCGTAACAAGAGCGACCAGACCGGGAAAAAAAAAAAATAGGAGAGACAGGGAAAGACATAAGACATGTGTACAACAGAGCAGATCAGTCCCCCAGGACTCATCCTTTTGAGCAACCAAGAAATAGCCAATCTATCAGATGCACAGTTCAAAACGCCGGTGATCAGAAAGCTCACAGAATTGGTTGATTTTGGGCGCAATTTAGATGAAAGGGTGCAGGTTACCATAAAAGAGATGCAGGAAGATACGCGGAGGAGAGCCAATAGAGAAAGGAAGGAATCTGAGTCTCAAAACAATACAGTGGACCAGAAGGAAGATAGAATCAACCAAGCAGGAAAGCACGATGAAACAAGAATTCAAAAAATCGAGGAGAGCCTTGGGAGCATCCAGGACACCTTTAAACGTTCCAACATCTGAATTATAGGGGTACCAGAAGGAGAGGAGCAACAAGTGGAAAAGTTATTTGAACAAATAATAAAGGAGAACTTCCCCAATCTGGCAAAGGGAACAGTCTTCCAAGAAATCCAAGAAGCTCAGAGAGCCCCCAAAGAAGTTGGACCCAAGAAGAAACACACCAAGGCACATCATAATTACATTAGCCAAGGTAAAAACGAAGGAGAGAATCCTAGAAGCAGCAAGAGATAAGGGGACAGTAACCTACAAAGGAGTTCCCATTAGACTGTCAGCTGATTTCTCCAAAGAGACCTTACAGGCAAGAAGGGGCTGGAAAGAAATATTCCAAGTCATGAAAGACAAGGACCTACATCCCAGATTGCTCTATCCAGCAAAGCTCTCATTTAGAATGGAAGGGAAGATAAAGTGCTTTTCAGATAAGGTCAAATTAAAGGAGTTCATCATCACCAAGCCCTTATTTTATGAAATGCTAAAGGGACTTATCTAAGAAAAGAAGATAAAGAAAAGACATGGATAGTAAAAGGACAGCAAACTCACAATTATTAACAACCACACCTAAAGCAAAACCAAAAGAAACTAAGCAAACAACTAGAACAGGAACAGAACCACAGAAATGGAGGGCACATGGAGGGCTAGCAGCAGGGGGGTGGGAGGAGAGGAGTGGGGGAAAAGGTACAGAGAGTAAGTAGCATAGAATGTAGGTTGAAAATAGATAGGGGGAGGGCAAGAATAGTACGGGAAAGGTAGAAGCTAAAGAACTCATAAGAATGACACATGGACGTGAACTAAAGGGGGGGGAACGTGGGTGGGAGAGGGGGTACAGGGTGGAGGGGAGGGAAGGGGGGAAATGGGACAATCAATAAAATATATTTAAAAAAAAGAAATCTGATACAAAATTGTCAATGGGAGACTAAAAATAGTTAGCTAAAAAGTAAGGTTGGAAAAATTAGCTCTTTGTTACATAGCATATACTCATACTATTTTCAATCCCAAATAGTATGGATAACTCAGAATCTAGCATATTCATCAATGAAGATAGAGTATCCGTTCTTTCCTAGGGATATATTCATTCAACAAACACTGCCTTGTGTTCTGATCACCATTTAATTCATTGAGTCCTCCTACAATCCTAAGACGTAGGTGTTAGAATGAGCCTCTTTCACTGAGGAAGAGGTATTACCTGCACAGAAGCCACAATGACAGAGCAAGGCTGGGTTAGGACCCTCTCTCAGGCAGTCTGCTCCAGGATCTACTCTCAGCCACTACTATCTGCTAAACTGACCTTATCCATCTTATCAGTTATGGCCCACAAATACTCCTTGTCATGAAGTATTCCCAGTTAGAATATTAGTCTCACAATATTGTAACACGAACATTTCTCACCTCTCCCTCCTCCTTTTCATCCCCTTGTATGAGACCTTAATATCTACTCCAGCCCACACTCATAACTCACCTCTACACTGCTTACCCAGCTGTAGACCACTAATAAAAGGTACACCAGATGCTCTCCACTGCTTCAAATGTTCATGTCACAGAACACCCTCTCTGACCTGCCTCTCAAAGAAGGAAGGACTGAAAATTCAGGGTCTAGAGGCAACCTGGGGCTCCCACCTTGGTGCTGCAGCCCTTGGGCAAATCCTTTAACCTTCTTCAATCTCTGTCCTCTCTGTAACTATGCAATCAAACTGGGGAGTCAAATGAGACTCTTAAACACTTAGTGCAGTGTCTAGATTGCACTATGCTGAGGCATACCTCAAAAGCCACTTCTCTCCCATAATACCTCCCTACATTCCTCAAAAGAAGTAACTTTTATGCACTCTAGACTCTTGGTATTCCTCTAGCAGAATTTAACACATGGCATCTTATTTGTAGACATGGCTTCTAAATAGCCAAAGTTTTCCTCAGGTTTAAACTGTGTTCTCTAGGCGGGAGCATTCCCTATAACATGTAGCACAATATCTTGCCTATGGTCTATATCTATAAATATTCCCTGCTGCTTAAGCAAAGGTTCTGGGAGGAAAGGCTCTATGCAGAAAAGGTGAACATCACTCACATTACCTGGGATCATTTTGATAGCTGTGTTAACTTCACTCCATTTGTGCACCCGGTCAAACTTCCAGTCCAGGATAAAGTTCCCATTATCTGTCACCACAGGACCCTAGGAGATAATTTTCCATATTTACCAGGCATGAAGACACAGGTAAGAAGAGACAGACAGGAAAGTGAAGGCAATAACCAAAGACAAATATCCTAATCAACTCACTCCAGCTAGTACTCCCACCTCAAGCTCTCTAGAAGGCAGTGCTGAGAGGCAGTAATGAGAAGAACTTGGAGTCAGGATCTGAGTCCTGACGCCACAAAGGTCCAGACCTCAGAGGGAGCCATTAATTTCCATGAGCCTCAAATTCTCAACAGCCAGAAGGGAGGCAATAATCCACACTTCACAAGCAGCTTATATATAAACCACATGGGTCAGCACTGACCACAGGGAGTGCTCATGGTAAAAGCTCGACAATTCTCAGCTATTATTAGACTGAAGACTACAGTAACAGAACAGGCTACCAAAGGGCACAATAGTCTCAAGGGTTTCACATTAAGTACCATGAATAATGTAAAATGAGACAATGTTATTTCAACTTTCAATCAGGCAGTCCCATCAAAAAGATAGAAAGCAGAGATGGTTTCTGAGGTCAAATAGGTAGCAGGTAGTTTTAGTTAATTAATCCAGAATTCCTCAACAGCTTTGAGCACTAGAAAATGCTTAGGACAACGAATGTGACAGAACACCGTAGTCAAAGGCAAAGAAATGAGAGCTCCTCTGCAGACTGGAAAAGGTAGGTGCTCAGTTAAGACCTCCATTAAGGCAGGATGCTGAGGCTTGTCTGTAATAACACCAGCTATGAGAGGGAACCTCCAACATTCTCCTCCTGGCCTTCCATCTACACAGGCAGCCAGAGTCAAAGACCTGTACGACCACTATGATTAGGACAATGATTTTAAAACGTCACAAAAACACCAGGAAAAAAACACATCAAAACAAAAATGTGGAACTTCTGGTCAAGATGGCATTATAGGGAGACATGACTCACCTCTTTGTGTAACCACATCAAAATTACAACTAAAATACAGAACAATTACACTGGCGGGTGTAGCTCAGTGGATTGAGCACTGGCCTGCAAACAGAAAGGTCTCAAGTTCAATTCCCAGTCAGGGCACATGTCTGGGTTGTGGGCATGAGAGACAACTGATTGATGTTCTCTCAAACATTGCTGTTTCTCTCCCTTTATTCCCCCTCCCATCCCCTCTCTCTAAAAGTAAATAAATAAAATCTTTAAAAATATAAAGTAAAATATAGAAAATATATAAAATTCAGGAACATCAGAAATCAGGCCGAATGGAATTCTGACAAACACAAACCACAGGAGGGATATCTTGGGAGTGAGGAGTCCTAGACCCACACCAGGTCCCCTGGTCCAGGATTCCAGTGCCAGTAAGACAAGACCCCACAACTTCTGGCTGTAAAAACCAGCAGGATTGAGTCAGTGGGAAAAAATTCTAGAGACCTAAGCAGTTCCTCTTAAAGAACCCACAACACGGACTCATCTACTCAGACTTATTCCCTCTGAGCTCCAGCACCAGGGTAGCAGCTTGAATAGCACCAGTGGTATACAGGGAGAAACTGATGTCTCTGGCATGAAGGTGAGCATAGGCCATTGTCCCTTTGCTAAACCCTACCCCCACAGAGCTGGTGCCATATCTAAGACTCCATCAACCTGACTAACACTTTGATAGCCTTGGAGATCCCCAGAGGCTCTGCCCCACCCAATTTATGGGCCCACCCTAGCTGCTTTTCCATGGGAATGGGTGGTCTTGGCTCCTAAATCCTATCAAACAAGCAACAGTTGGCTTCAGTGAGCACTGGCTGTAGCCAGATTAGTCACAGCTTGGTTTCACCTAGGAATCTCCAAGCCCAGCACAAGTAGCAGCCATCTCAGATTGCTTTAAGGAGCAGGCAGGGTGCCCTGGGCAAAACATGGGTGGGGGCTGACTTTGGCCTGTATCACCCAGGAAACCCCAGGGCCAACACACCCAGTGGACAGGTACTAACTACATTGGAGTACCACCACCCTGCCCCTGCAGAGCTGATCCTCTATGGAGGGTGGAGGTTGGTGGTTAGTGGTCACAGCCAGTCTTTGCAGCTGACTGGTCTGAGTAAATCTCTCCCATTGACCTGCCAAAAGTAACCAAGGCTCCACTACAAAAGGAGGGTATACTCAGACCACAAAGGGTGCACCTCGAGTACACATCTTGTGGGATAGGGGAGGTGTGCCACTGGATCCTTCAGGACACCTACTACATTAGGCCATACTACTAAGACACAGAGTGTCAAAGCAACCCTACCTAATACAAAGAAACAAACACAGGGAGTCTGCCAAAACAAGGACACAAAGAAATATGGCCCAAATAAAAGATCAAAATTCCAGAAAAAAAGCTAAACAAAATGGAGATAAGCGGTCTACCAAATGCGAAGTTCAAAATACTGGTTATAAGGATACTCAAGAAACTTATAAGGACCTCAATAGCAGAAAAAAGACCCAGTCAGAAATGAAGGATACACTAACTGAAATGAAGAACAATTTACAAGGAAACAACAGTAGAGTAGATGAAGCTGAGAATCAAATCAATGATATATAATACAAAGAAGCAAAAAACAATTACTCAGAACAAGAAAAAGAAGCCAAAAAAATGAGGATAGTATAAACAGCCTCCAGGACAACTTCAAGAGGTCCCACATTTGCCTCATGGGGGTGCCAGAAGGTGAAGAGGAAGAGCAAGAAATTGGAAATCTATCTGAAAAAAATAATGAAATAAAACTTCCCTAATTCAATGAAGGAAATAGACATGCAAGTCCAGGAAGCATAAAGTCCCAATTATGATGGATGCAAACAGGCCCACTCCAAGACACCTCATAATTAAAAGGCCAAAGGTTAAAAATAGAGACTTTTAAAAGCAGCAAGAATAAAGAAAGTAGTTACCAGATGGTTTTCCAGATGGGAGGGGGAAGAGGGAGAATTGGTGAAGAGGTAAGGAGATTAAATAGTACAAATAGGTAGTTACAGAATAGCTGTGAGGATGTAAAGTACAGTATAGGAAATGGAGCAATCAAACAACTTATATGTAGGACTCATGAACAACGGTGAGCAGGTTGCCCAAGAGAGCAGGGGGTGCTGGGTGGAGGGGGGCAAAGGAGGAAAAATCAGGACAACTGCAAGAGCATAATCAATAAAATGTAATTTTTAAAAAAAATGTATCAAGGAAGAGTTACTGTTTATCTTTTTTCTATATCTCCTAAGCTTTTTATATAGTTATATATAATAGTTATATTTTTACTATATAGGTATATTTACACTATAGTTAGTTTTTGGATTATTACTTTAGATTTTTTTTATTTATGGGTAAGAAAGTTCATTGTAACCCACTTTAGAAGCTGAAGAAAAACATTTGGATTAATTATCTGGAATGTATTCCTGAGGAAGGGTTCACATCCCCCAAGAAATTCTACTTCCTATTAAATTTAACCAGAATGAGGAAAGAGGAAGAAAAAAGAAAATTATACCAGGAAACCTGGAAAACTTTATGCCCCAGGGGGTTTCCCAAAGCCCAGGTTTAGTAGATGTTAATCAGGGTGGTCCAGGCTTCAGGTATGAGGAGTGTCAGCCCCTCAAACTGCATTAAGTCTTATCTACAAGAGTTTGAATAGAGCTAGCACTCTAAAAATAAACAAAGAAACTTATTTCAAATAAGTATATAGGCTTCTGGATTCCAATTTGCTGCTCTTGCCAGGTGGTCTATGGCAACTCAGGAAGCCACTCCAGACAACCAGTCAGAAAACAATGCTTTAGAGCTGCCATCTGTTTGTGACATGCGATTACATACTGCAGGAACCCAGCCAGGAGGCCCACAGCGAGCCTTTTAGTTAAGTAGAAGCCCTTTCTATTCCATCTTCTTCTGAGGTGGATCCAGGAAAAAGAACTTGAAAACTTGGCTACAGTGGATTTGAAAATAGCTGAAAAGTTCAGTAGCAATTGAAGGGAACTACAGAAAATAGCTGAGAAGTTCAGTGGCAATCAAAGGGGCTGATAGTTGTTGGAGCCAAAGGCCGTTTTAAAAAGCAGCCTTCTCATTATCTATTTCCCACCATTTCACCGAAAGACCCCATTTATTTAACCAAAGGCAGAAAGTAGAATTTACTGTTTGTTAAATGCTTGAGGTAATTAAAAATGTCTTTAATTTTTACCAGAATGCTATTGAAAAGAAGAACAGCACAACCTGTAGCATATTCTTTCTTTGCAAAATTGACATATGCTTATGACAGTAACTGTGCTACCATCCGTGAAAAAATGTTTGTATTTTTACAAATAATAAAACAATTTAAATTATTTTAAATAAAATCATTTAAAGTAGTAAATACTAATTTAATAATTATTTATAATTATTTAAATAATCATTCACTTATAATGAAATAATTTGAATTATTTTAAATAAAATCATTTAAAATAATAAAAGATCCACCTGAAGCAAAAAATTAAATTAAATTAAAATAAATAATAAAATAAAATAAATAAAAGCCTACTGCACAGTTCAGGCATGGATGACCTAACTGAAGAAGAAAGAACACTGAGAACCTGTAAACACTAAAGAGCTTTTACATCACAAGTGCTGATACAACACTGAGAACGTGGCACGTCCTCCAGAAACCTCCATGGCCACTTACTGCCTTGTTGACAGCCATGCGAAGTTCAACCACACCTCCAAACTTCTGAATCACTGCTCGGCTCACTGGGACATAAGCCATAGGGATGACCTCAATGGGAATTCCCTTGTGCCACTGATCCCCAAGGTTTTTTGAATCTTTCCTGGAAGTAAAGAGTCAAAAACTATGATAAATATAATAGGCTCAATGGTACAGATGAACACCAAATTCAGGAATGGGGTTAATTATATGGTGAAAGGGCACAGGAGGCAAGCAAGGGTAAGTATACAGAGGTTTTAAATGTATTTGAAGTAACTATGACAAAAATGTTAAAATATGATATGACTAGCTTTGTGTGGTATACAGGTGTTTATTATTTAAGTTCTTCCTACAGCTATTTTTCAAAAGTAAATACTTTCTTTCCCCTCTAAATTAACATGCTCAGCACAAGTGCCTTCTACCAGATACACTGAAGAAGAATCTGAGAGGCAGGACAAAGACTATCTACAACACAAGCCACATGTGACCCACAAAGGAGGCAATGCATGCTGAGTCATTGCCCATGGGAAGAAGTGTTTGCCCTGCTTCCTCTGAGGCTCTGTGGATCAAATGACTGACATATGAGAATGTACTCTGTTAACAAGGGACACAAGCTGTTTCCTTCTCATTCCAAAGGACACATAAATAAATACCAATACCTACCTTCAGCATAAAGGCTGAATAGAAATCCTCCTAGACACTACCCTAAGTCCTAGCCACAAGTCTCAAAATCAGGCAGTCCCTCCTGTTCTCTATTTCCTCCTCTATAAAATGGGAATGAGGCCTGGGGTTCACATATCTCCTTGGTGGACAGTTTAGGACACTAAACATTATACCTGAAATCAGCAATCACGATGAAGCGACTAGCATAGCCTGCCACAATCTTCTCCTGAGTCAGGCAACCTCTAGGCATAGAAAAAAAAAAAAATGAACACATGGGCAAAACAAAAGCTCTATCTGGGAACCAGTCAGACACAGAAAACCCAATTCTGGCACTTAAAGAGAAATTTACTTATTATATCTTAAGGGACATGACCCAACTCCATCATGTTGTGCAATGAGTTGAACTGTGTCCCACTCAAATTCTAAGGCTGAAGTTCTAACCTCCAACGTAACTGTATTTGGAGATGGGGCCTCTGAGGAAGTAATTATGCTTAAATGAAGTAATAAGGGTGAGGCACTGGTCTGATAAGATTAAAGTTTTTATGATTAGAGATACCAGAGAGCTCACTCACTCTGTCTCCCCACTATGTGAAGACAAAAAAAAAAGGCAGCCATCTTCAATTAAAGTGACTCCAGAACTGTCAGGAATTTCTGTTGTTATTGCCACCTAGGCTACGGTATTTTGTTATGGCAACTGAGGCTAAAACATACTGCTTCTACTAAATGAACCATGGGAAGCTTAGCCTGTATCTGAAAGAACCTAGAAACAGGACAGTGGTGTGCTTAGGAAGAAGTCATCTGAGCATGGAGTGAATGGGGCAGGGTCTATAGCTTAAGAAATAAAATAAGCTTTCGAACAACCTGGTCAAAGGTTATTTGACAAAGTGATAAAGCCAAGAGCACATAAACCAATTTTGTGTCATTTCATAGTCTGCTTGATTTTAAGAACCAATGAAACAGGAAAATTCACCTTCTTCAACTCACCCTTCCCTAACCCCCAAATCAACACTTAGAAACATCCAATAAATGTTTTATAAATGAATGAATAAATATATCACTAACTTCTCAGAGGTAAGAGCAGCTTTAAAGCAAATATCACACACTGGTGCCCACAGACCTAATAATTTAGCCCCAGTAATATGCTATGTTTAGCCTGCAGAGTTTTAAAGCTGAAATCAGAAAAATGCAGACACAGAGAACCCATTAAGATGAATAATTTCACTGAAGAGCTCCAGGTTCCCAGTCACCAGATTTTGCAACTAATGACCAGAAATGCCAATTTGGCAGCTCTACAGCCATAGCTATCAATACCCTAGTAGAAAGACAAACTCAGGTACATCACAGTGAAAATTTGTTTATTTTGTAACCCACTGCCTTGCTAGGGATTAACTGGCAGATACTCTACCAAAAAACATTGCCACAACACTCACCCACCACCCTTGATGAGATTGAGGTCAGCATCTACTTCGTCAGCACCATCGATGGCAAGGTCAATCTGTGTCAGAAGGAAAGATAAAAACACCACTAACAGCCTTTTGAGGGAAAGCTCTGTGCAAAGCTTGAGCATGCAATAGCTTATTAGACCTTCAATATCCCAATTACCTAGGTAGAGTTATTTGCTTTTAATCAATCCAGACACTGAAGCTCTGAGAGGTCAAACTGTTATAACAGAGTCACTGGGAAACAAACACGGGGCCTGGTAACCACACCTGGGTCCAGCTCGTACACTCCCTTTTCTCACTGGCGGGCTTCTCTGCGCACAAACTGGAACTGTGGAGATGATGCAATCCCAATGTGGGTGACATCACCCCCGAGTACAGTAACAGATATATACACATATCTGTGGTATTAAAATCTCATTGGGGAAAGAAAGGGCGATCACAGAGAAAAGCTCAGAAACACTGATTCAAAATTCTCCTTAGTATTGTGGCAAAAACAGGCAATTTTGAGGGCTAGGAGAAGACCCAATGAAGAGGTATAAAGCTGACACACATTTGATGTGATCCGGGATTGGAAATTATCTGAGGTACCCTGACTATGATACTGCCAAAGCATCTATCTGGCCTTGCCCACTTTTTCTATTAGGAAGCTCTACCACCAGTCCCAAAAGCAGTCAAAGGGCAAGCTGGTTCACTCATTTTCAAAATTTGAAATCAAAGAAGCTATGTATTTTTTTATCACTCCCGGTAATGTTGCATGATTAATATGATAGTTTTGAGTATGGTTTTTTAATAATAGCAGTAGAGAAAACCTCAGGGTACAAATTCAGTTCAAGGTGCAGTTAGAAGTTGCTTGGTATGGCTGCTGTGGCACAGGTATAAAGCCTACAAAGCTTCAGGTGTGCACCCTTCCTCCCATCCATTTACAGATGTGCCTTGTATCTGAAGGTACAGCCACTGTTCCTCCTTGACCCTATACTAACTCCAGGGCTGGGCTTTGCCTGGGCAACTGATTCTCCAGGGCCTGGAAGGTGGCTACCCTTTCTATTGGCAGGCCCATCTTCAGCCCAAACTACTCTCCTAATAGCACTGAACAGTTGACTCAGCCTGTGTTCTGACTCTGCCCAGGTTTCTCTCAACGAACCCTTCCCATGATCCTTGCTAACCCCTCTGAGGCCCATGTGTACCATAACTAAGTTACTAGAGCACCATCAAGCCCCAATCACCAGCCTAGTTTGGGAGCTACCACAACCCTGCCAAACCATTCAAATCCAGCTTTGCACCCTTACGCCACTGCATCAAAGCATTCCACCGCTCAGTCCTAATCACTGCAGCCAGTCTGGACACTGTCCACATGTATCCACGTGCCTGTAGAAATTGCTCCTGTGGTTTCCATCTATCCCTCTCTAAAATGTTCTCTCCTGTCCTTACCACCAAACCTTCCTAGCTCTGCTCAAACTTTACCTCTTCTCACAAAACCCTTCCAAGTAGCATCACTCTAGAGCCAGAAGCACTAAAATTCCTATTAAGGCTTTGCCACTTACAAAAAGCATGGCCTTAGGCAAGCGGCTTGCCCTCTCTATGCCTTTTTCACATCAGTGAAAATGATGGGTACAAAATGGTACCTGCCCTGAAGATTAGTGGAATTTAAGTAATTTGCCACAGGTACTGCACTAAGCAAAATATCTAGTAAATAGTAAGAGTAATTGCTGACTCTGACCATGCTACTCACCCTATCAACTTCAGCTCCCCTCTATTACCCATGTGTTCAATCATCTTTGCCACAAAACTTAATTTTAACCTGTTTCCAAATGACCATGGTGCCTCACATGATCACTTCTTTTTTCCACTTGGTGGTAAGCTCCATGGGCAGGCTCACTATTTTTGCTCCAAGGACCAAAGAAAGCCCTGGAGTAAGCTGGTCCAATCCCCCTTAACCACACTCAGATTGAGTACTCAACGGTTAAACAAAGGGAATGTACTAGAAATCAACCACCTCTCCTTGTGTAACCTTAGCCAGGATTAATACTCAAGGTCTCAGAAGAAAAGCTAGTATGGCCTGTCTCCTAGACACAACAAGATACCCAGAGTCCATGAACAAATGACAGCCATAAAAAAAGGAGACAGAAGACAGAGTAGCCTCTCTTACCTCAGGGTGACGGTCCAGGTCGCTGAGAGTTAAGCCGTACTGTAGGATAAGCTGACGGGCCTATGGAGGACAGGAAAAAGCACACATAATCATTTACCCTGAGCAGATGACAAAAATTTTCAGAATTCTGTTCTCTTTAAGTGTCAAACACTGTGTCTTGACCAATGCTCCCTCCCAAATCCCAACCTGGATCACCAAGAGATAGGAGAAGTAGACACATGAAAGGCAAAAACTAAGTTAATTCATCCTGGGAACCAGAAGAAGATAAATAGCACATAGTGAAGACTCAGTCCTGTGCCAGTCTAAGAGCTCCTAATCTAATAGCAGTGACCTGCTATTTAAGACAGTGCTATGGCTTCTTAAAGCTTCTGCTTATACAGTATTTTTTAAAAACTTCCTAAAATAAGAATCAAATCTGTAAAATATTAGAAAGGTTTTTTAAAAACAATCTAACAGTGTGGAAAAAAGACTGAAGATCACTATGAAATGACACGGAGTGATTCCTAGGCTATTCTGCTATTGGGTAAAAATAAGCAAACAAACAAACAAACAAACAAACATACTCAGAAGACCATATAGAAGCAGGACTTCTGGAATGGCTAAGCCAGCAGTTTGGCATATTGAAAGCAGCAGACTGGGAGAGATTTAGGATGTTTGTGGAAAAACTCGGCACCACTGACTTTATAGACATGTCTTATAAATAATTAACCTTTAACCCAGGCTGACCAAAGGGGAGAGCAGTGGTGACTGGCATCACATGGCCCTGAGCAGGACTCATAGGTGAAACAAATGCACCATGAACCTCGATCACCCAAATCCAATGGGGATGAGGATTTATGTTCATGTCACTGTTCACAATATGCAAAGTAACAAAAGAATGAAAATGTTTTTTTCAAAGGCATGTCCTGAAAATAGATTCTTCTTAATGTGAAAAGCACCTGAGATTAAGAATCATAGGTTCTTAATAATCTGGGTTACGATCTTAAATGAACCAGCCATGTAACCCTGGCCAATTTTCTCATCTATAAAATGATGAGGATAGATGAAATGACCAACATAAATCTTCACATCCAAAATCTTAAGACTCTAAGAATAAAATACGAAGACCCTGGAATTTGCAATATACGGACCTTATTTAAATCTTGATTCAAACTGTAAAAAAATTATTTTAAGGATAAGACAAAAGGGGAATTTTGAACCCTAGATTTTTATTTGATGCTATTAAAAATTACTGTTATCGTTTTTAGTATTGTTGAGATGTTTAAAATCCTATTTTTCAGATGTAATAAAATATACACAATTGATTTATACTATGACTGGGATGTTTCAAAATAACCTAGGTAGAGGAGGATGGGGTACAGATGAAAAAAAACTGGCCACAAATTGATAACAGTTCAAACTGGGTGATAGGTACATGGAAATTGACATTATTCTTTATCCTTTCTGAAGTTTAAAATTTTCCACGATAACAGGCTAAAATGTTGACTGAAAAAAAGCAAGTTTAAAAAAGAAAAAGAACATGATTTTGTTCTTATTAAAAAGAAAAACAAAATGGAGAAAACAAGAGTAAAAATGGTATTGCTGGATTATTTCCAAGTTCCTAGATTTCTCCAAAAGTAGTACTGGAGAATTCACTATAATTCACAACTTGAGACTATAAAAACATTAAGAATATCTGAAAGGAAGCCTCTAAGATGATCCTCAATGATCCCCTCCTCTTAGTATTCATGCCATTGGGTAATCCCTGCCCACAATGTCCCATGGTTGGCCTGTATGACCAAAAGCACACAGCAGGGGAGATGGCCTGGTACTGCAGAGATGAACTGGGGTTGAGGGCCAGGGGGTGAGACATGCTCAAACATCCTCACCTCCTTTTTCCTTCTTCTCCCCCCATTCTTCTCTTACCACATACTCTGGGGTAACCAACTGCTACATCCTTAAGACACTGAGACAGCCCTGGGCATAGACCTGATACTCAATAGCCTGAGGAGAACTGAGGTCTGCAAACACCCATGTGACCGAGCTTGAAGACATGCTGTCTTGAGATAACAACAGCTCAACTGTAACCTCATGAGAGACCCAACTAAATCTATCCAGATTCCTGACTCTTGGAAACTACAAAATAATAAATTTAGTTGTTTGAAACTGCTAAGTTTGGGGGTAATTTATGCCATAGGAACAAATAGCTAATATAGACGGTGTTGGAAAAATGACAAAAATTGCATGTAAGTTCAGTGTGATATGCTTATCGTGCAAATAAAACTGTGATGTACTATGATTTCCCATTAATGTTGCATACTTTAGAAACTACTAAACTTTATTCAAATGCATTACGTGAAAACTGGATGTTAGGAAATGTTCTATCACAATTCCTATGGAAAAGGTCCTATGTAATATACCATTTTAGTTCAACATTTCTTAAGGTCAAAGCACCACTTGCCAGTGTTCCTGTTTGATAAGGATGTCCTGTTGTCTATCTAGGCTGTAATCAGAGTATGGCACAACACATTTCAAATACTCCTGTTGCCCTACAAAAGTTAGCATCACATTGACCCAACAGTTGAGTAAATAACTGGTCATTGTGAGTTCAATCCAAAAGGAGTCACTTAATGAAAGCCTTTGTTTTAAAGAATGGATGCCCAGAGAAGTCACACAGTGGTTAAGTTAGGGACAGAGTGAGGAACAGAAATACTGGCACCTGTTTTCCTATCCTGTGTAGGAACTAGGAACGGATTTAGAAGAAAGGGAAAATGGGAGGAATGACAGAAGAAAAAAGGAAAACAACCCAGTAGGGTTCTGTTTATTCTATAAATAGAATCAAAGTCATCTAACATAATAATATGCTATTAATAAATCTATTAACAGTAACAATTTTAAAAGGAGTTCTTTGAGGTCTTGGCATTCCTCCTCTACCTAAAATGTACCACCTTCTCCAAACTCCAGCCCTTTATATCCAACTGAAAGGTTCTCCTCTCCAGGAAGACTTCCCCCTCTCCTGGCAAAGAGTAGGCTCTCTCCTTCCTCTAAAAGGCACATTACCTCTTTATTCTCTATTACATATTTGTGACAAACTATACAAATAAATGTAGTATTAATTCATCCAACAAACACTTATAGAGTGCTTAAGAGCCAGGTGTAACACTAGGACATTGGAGACAGTGACTAACACCTCCCATGTACCATGTCCCTAATAAAAATATATACACCCTCAATAAGTACTACATCCAACTGACTCGGCTTCCTCACCACTGCCAGCCCCCCCGCACAATGCACCAGTCCAGAGTCTGGCACATGAGGGGGCCATCAGGTAAGTACAGTCTACGTTGTGCAGCTGGGAGGCCTGTTGGTGATTCTCCTACCCCACGCAAATGTTCATCTCCCTAAACAATAAGCAATAACATAAGCACAGGCTCTGTCCTTCCATTAAACAATATGTATACCCATTCATAACATGGAGGACCCTGTACAATGACCTCAAGATCCCACTGGGTTGAGACCCTTTAAGTTTGCTCCTATTAGCAAATCCTTCAACTCTCCTGTCTCTCCGCCTTTCACTGGATGCCCTGCAAGTGGCCCTGCACACACAGAGAAGTCCTAATCACAAATGGCCTGAGTGTTAGGGTTGAACTGTGTTCCCCTAAAAAAAGATATGTTAAAGTTCTAACCACCAGTACCTCAGAGTGTGACCTTATTTGGAGATAGGGTTCTTACAGAGGTAATCTGTAGGATTTCAAGTTAAAATGAAATCATTAGGGTGAGTCCTAACCCTGTATCTCTGGTTTCCTTACAAAGGGAGATTTGCACATAGTGACAGACACATACAAAGAGAAGGTCATGTGAACATGAAGGCAGAAATCAGTGTGATGCATCTGTAAGTCAAACAACACCAAAGATGGCCAGCAAACCACCAAATGCTAGGAGACAGGCACAGAATAGGCTCTCCCTCACAGCCTGAGAAGGAGTCAACTCTGCCATCTTACGAGTGCTGGCCTCCAGAACTATGAGAAAGTAAATTTGTTTTCTAAGCCGCTCAGCTTGTGGTGCCCTGTTACAGAAGCACTAGCAAACTAATACACTGAATTCAACATAACAGCCCTACCATGGGAGTACAGACCCACCACTGGCTCAGTCAGCACAAACATAGCCTCAGTTGCCCAACTGGGATCAGCATCTACTGGACACCAAGCACTCATGCTCACAAGCTCAGGGGTCTCCCAAGGGTGCAAAGCAAACCCCATCTGCCTCTTCCAACTTTCAAAAATGCAGATGTGACAGGACATAGCTGAGCAGTAGCCATTCTTAGATAAGAGCTGAACAGCAGCCATTCTCAGACAGCAGCCATACCCAGGATAAGCAGTTATCTCAAGGTCGTACGCTAACCCCCGCTTTCTGCTTCTGTATGCCCGCTTTCAGCAGCTACACTCCTTCCCCCTCCTCCTTTCACCTTTGTAACAAGAATATAAGCAAGCCCCAGCCTAAGCTCAGGGCCCAGAATTTGGAGACTGTCTCCTCTGGGTCCGCATGCATGAATAAAACTCCACCTCCAAACTCCAACACTGTCTGAGTCACTTTCCTGCAACACAGGGAGCCAGAAAGCTAATAACGATTACCCTGTGCTTGTGAAAAAAGACAGGAAGCAAAGCCTCTCACTGCAATCCCACAACTGATGCCCCCGCAAATGTCTCATGTGATTATGACAGACTAACAGTCCTTCTGTTTTTCATACATTTCATAACAAAATCTGAAAACATTTCCCTTCTACCACCTAACTGAGGTAGACTGAAAACCAGCATAATCAGTAAACAACTTTTTGGCTTAGACCAAATCTGACTTTCAAATGCTTTATTTTCTTCTTCCAAAGCCCAACTTTAAAAGGAAAATCTATATAAATCCTTTATATTACTAGAGGTTTACTTGTTTAAAAGATAGGGCCTAAAATATTTTTATTTTCTTTCAATTATTTAATTTCAGGAGATTGTACCTGACTAAACACAAAATAAGTTTGGGCTTGGGAGGGACAAAACCAAAAACAAAACAGTAACTGAACAAGTAAATTTTTA